TATCCGTTAGCTTATTTTTCGTAGAATAAGTCCGTCAATTCTGCTGTATCCCGTTGATAGAAACTATATAGTTCGGCTTCCAGCCGTGCGCGATCTTTCACTATGGGGAAGGCTTTACTAACGATTTTTTGAAATTTTCAAATGTATATGTCTGGCTTCCAAACTCCCCTAATAAAAATTTGCCTATGTTTTTCTACATAGCGCGGCCTGTCCTCTTAGTGCTGATGTGGCGATGGCAACTTTTTGTCTTTCAGGAAACAGGATAGAGCTGAAAGTGGTTTTCTAGACCTTCGAGAATACCGCCACCGAATTTTTTCTGTCGAAATTGACGGTTTGGCTTCATAGATGCTCTCATCGTTCTGCACCAGGTATCCAAATCTCTTCTAACTGGCATCGCCATTTCTTGCTGTTGCAGTTGAACAGGGGCTTCCATCCAATTTTCGGCCCATCTGAGTTCGATAAGATGTTCGGGCGCCAAATGTGGTATCGTTGTGCGCCTCCAACTTGCACGCAACCAAGATGTGACTGTTACGAAACTGGAATTTACTCAAGACAGAGTCTTGCTAAGGGTTTTTAAGTCCCTTTTTTATTCAACTTAAAAATTACAATTGCGTGCTCTTGACGCTCACAGACTGCGCCAACTCGGCGGTCAAATAAAAATAATAACCTGAAAAGAAACTAAAGACAGACTCTAACTACGAGGCTCTCTAAAATAACTAACTCACCGCGTTTTACAATACCGCTGCTAAATCAGCAGACTTGAAGCTCACTTGACGATTAACACTTTTCCCGCCAAGCACATAGGGCCGAAACGCGGGGTTCTTCAATTTCTCGCTAACTACCTCGCGCTCGTGAAGTAAGATCTCACACACCGAACTCGTTTCCTTCCTATTTAAATCATATATACTTTCCGCTGATTTGAATCCTTGCGCGTTCTACTAAAATTTACTATTCTGGCATGGCAGTTCCAGGGGAAAGTAAGGCTTGACAGGAAAGATAGTTTAAACTTAAAATAAATGTTAGTTAAAATAAATATAAACCCTACAAGTTATAATAATATTTATTTGACATTAAAACGGGGATTTTTATTTAGTAACTAAATTGTTGTCTCTTATTTAAATGTTCGTATCTTTTTTGAAATTTTATTACATTTTATTTTGATCAAATATCTGGAATAAGGAATCAGACTTAAATTATGTATTTCTCTTTTCTGGTAATAGTCTTTCTTCGTCATAAAATTAATTTCGCGACATCTGCCTTAACTACTGCTGTGATGTTTTTATCTCTAAAATTCCAAACGCTTTCGTGGGGGGGGGAGAACTAAATATACTGAGAGAATCAGTATTTAATAAATAAATTGCTAATGACATTATTTTTTTCCAAACTCTAATTAATAAACTTGACTTTGGTTTCCGACCTGCAACACTACAAATTACAATATAATATATGCAAAATCTTTGGAAATCATAACATAAAACTATTGTTCGAGTCGAGATTTTATTCAATAATTAATAAAATTTCATCTTTCCCAGGCATTAATGTCATATAAAGGCCTGAGCGCATTTTAAGAGGAGAAAATAATGCACTATTATTTTTCTTCAAGAAATTCATTATTCATTATTACGTTGCTTAATGCCAGCGTGCGCATACTATGAAATCAAACTAGACACGTGGTCTGAGAAGCTATCTTCTGGATAATGGAGTAATCTAAATGTATTGATGTAAACTAATTGCTTAGAAAACTCTAATATTGTGTACCGCAGTGGAAGTAGAGAGGGATGTATCGAAGAGAGCAGGAGACAAACAAGTTTATGAAATAATGTACTCAGATATTGTCAAATTGTCATTATTATTGATAACTTTCTTTGGTAGTCTCACTTTTTTGGTAGCATAAACTAGTGAGTTGTAGATGGGTTTTTCACAAGTCAACACGTATGACTTAACTTAAATACGTACTGTTAAACTAATTCAGATTACTAGATTAGCCTAACGGTTCACAGGATAATTTAAACACGTAGGAAAGGCTCTTGTTTGTAGAAAACCGAAGAGACAAGCTAAATGGTTAGAAGCACTCAACGCCATAAAATCAAATGGTTAATAGTCACGGTACAAAGTGGCCTGAAGCAGGCAGAACACACTCTAAAATTAACTTGCGCAACCTTCGCTCAAATAGTACATCTTTCTCCCTCTGTCTGAATAAACGCTCTCTATCACATTTACATTCTCGCGTGAAAAGCGTGAGTGAAAAGAGAGTAATAGAAAAGTAACTGAACCTAAAATTAACTATTAGTTACAAATAAATATATAAAACCTCGCAACTTCATTAGCATTTGAATCCTTACAACCTTGTTGCATTTTGATTGTGTCCTGTTTCAATGTAATATGAATGTTTCTCTTATTTGCCATGTGGTTTAATACTCTGAAATTTGATTCTGATTACACGTATCAGCTTCATTTCTTTATTTATATTTTAAATATTTAGAAAGATTCCGCAGATTGCTCATTAAACTGTAAGGCTAGGGCAGAAAAAAGAAATTCTTACATCTGGAACAGAAGGTGTCACATGTGGCATCTATTACAATGCCTGGGGGGAAAATGTACTTTTCTTTTATTAGTTTCTTTACTATTGTTATTACTATTATTATTATTAGTCGTAGTAGTAGAAGTAGTAATAGCTGTAGTAGTAAGAAGTTATATAGAAAAATAAGATTTTTTAAACACAAATATAATTTAGCATTCATCAAACTCGGCGCCCCGTACGGTTGAACTTATATATAATCATTGATCCGACGCTGACTGAAATACCATTTCATCTCTTAATGTTTCCCATTGATATACTAAAAATTTAGCTTCCATCTCTTGTGGGTCTAATATAGCAGTTAATTTTGTCATTTGTTCAGTGTTTATAAGCATCTGAAGGAGATATTATTGCTTTCGAGTAGTCATAAAATCCTATTGTTTATGAATAAAGATCTAAAAGACAAGAACATGCGCTTGCCAGTGGACGATGCACAAGATTTTTTTTTTTTTTTAAATGTTATAAAAAGGCGTTGTTTATCAGAAGTAAGGAAGTAAATCATCTAAGAAGGTATTTTGTCTGTACTTACGATATTATATTGTAGCAGGTGTTAGTTTGCATCATGAAGAGAATAAATAAATTATGTTTTGAACATTTATTGCAAAATTGCTGTTTTTATTTGCATCTCATTTATGCCTACCAGCACCCGAGCAGTAAAACTGTCGACCACTAGTAATTAGTCTCAGTTTAACCAATAGGCTGGCTGTATGTTGACTAAGCTTGACCAACAGGCTGGATGCATGGGGATTTCCGTCTTTATCTCCATGTATAAGGGAAGAGATCATGGAGGTAGGAAAGGAAGGAGGGGCCAACCCGCGCTAAAAGTGAAGCACTGCTTTGAAGCTTGGGTCACCAGATGGGGTGTTCTTTGTTTACATTCAGAAGCTTGTCTTGATGATGTAGCACGTTCACATGGTCACATCATCTTGACCGCACATTTTATAATAACTCAGTTAGAAATGTTCAGAGAAAGTCAATTACTATTTAAAGTATTTCGCTAATTCCTAATAATTCTCTAATTTAAAATGAACCGAATAGAGCATTAATTATAAATTGACTTACATTTTTCGATTTAAAAGATGCTTCAGAAGCCAAAAAATCATTTTAGGAAGAAGAATAAATAGAAAAGAAATAATGCATAATTTTAATATTAATAATACAATAAACTTTGATCTTAATTTTTGTACCTTAACCGAATAAAATCGAATTACCTTAATTTTTTTTCTAATGTAATTAACGAAAACTTGTGAAAATATTTCATTCAAATTAAACCATTCTGAGAAAACTGTTCTGTGAAAAGTATAGCATTTAATTCCGTTCAGAATGAAATGTTGTTTTCACATACTTAGGACTCTGAAGTGTTGTAGAAAAAGAAAATATATACATTTATATGTACATTTACAACGTAATTACAAAATATTTACATCCGAACGCGTCAAATCCCATAGAACTCAATGGTAAATGACCCAATGTTTTGGTCACCACGTAGGGATCGCCGGTGCTTCAGAGCAGCGTACGGGAGAAACTTGTTTAGGGCGACTCCATCTTACTTCCTACCTCCATGGAAGAGATAATTTTTGCAAACCAGTTTCCTTTAAATAGTCTTCCACGCCGTAGCTCTAATTAGTTTCGAATCCATTTGCATCCAAACTATAATCCTACGGTTACGATGAAATTCCGCAGTGTAGTCTAGGAGGGAAAACTGATACGAATAACATCAGTAATATGTAATTTTTAATATGCACTTTATATTCCTTTTTCTCAGTTTTATTAAATATGAATTTTCATTTTATATGTTTCGGAGTTTTTCTGTTTGTAACCTTTTACGTTCAGAAAAGAAATGCAAAAACAAGCTTGGATTTTTAATACTCATTTTCTTTCCCTTTAGTTGAGTTTTAATTTTATTCAACACCAGAAACGGTTTCATGAATTAATAGCAAGAAATAATTTTATTACAGAAACGAAACAAAATATTTATAATTTTTCATACTACTTTAAAATTTTCAATTGTAAGCACTTTTTCAAAGCGTAAGACTACATCTGAGACTTTCAGTTTGGACTTTCAATTTCTAATATATTGAAAAATTGTTTGCCTGTACATAATTAAGGAAGCTAAAACGTTTATTTATTATTATGATGATGACGATTCCTTCCTCCTTCTTTATAATACCGGGAAAATGTATGGTTAAATATATTTGTATCTTCTCAAATGTTTGATTAAATTCTACTCGTATTTTTGGCGTTTTGAGCAAGATCAGTTTTTTTTTTTCCGGGGGGGGGGGGTGCGGTGGAATTTTTACAAATTTTGATTGTCAAGAAACACTTTTTCCACATTGCATTTGGCAACAAATCTGGTGTAACAAATTAAAAAATATATCTCAAAATCAACTTTTAATTAATTTTTGTTAATATTTGTTTTCAGCATTAATTTCATCATCACATTGTAAAAGAAGATGGGGACCAGATACGAAGAGATCATGAAAACAAAAAATTACTTGCCATTCCGCATGGGCTATATCACAGAAGATATGGTAGAGAAAGCTCGGAAAGAACTTGGGGAAACAGAGGAAGTTCGACTGAATGCCATAGCGGAAATGAGGAAACTGGTTCAAGGTAAGCCTAAATTTTAAAAATATGAGTTGGATATTTAAAAAAGTTAATTTCTCAATCATACAGGGCCTGAAGGAGAATTCACACAACTGTTTAGCCGTCATTATTGTCATAGTCCCCAACTCATAAGGAAGCGGTCACATGATTAACTTACTGTCATTATTGTACTGATAAAGTGCAAAAGTTATTAGCTCTGTTCACACCTATGGAGCAGGATTCAAGCATAATCAGGCAACGAAGATGAATCTGTGCATACGTAAACGAGCTGCTGATCTAACGAAATCGTCGACAAATTATCACATTTGCCACACAATTGTCGACATTTGCTTTTCGGTGTTTGATCGGTTCTTTTATCATGCTGACATGCCATTCAGCTGTTGAAATTATGAAAACTTTATTAATTTTTAAAAGAAACATTTTCGAGTGTGACATATCTTGAGAATCAAAAAAGACAACCTAATCACTTCCTCACATTTATTAATTTTTTTCTTTGAGCACAAATATAAGTATCATGTAGTTCTACAAAAGTAACCATGGTTTAGTTTATTTCTCACTGCAGCTTGATACTTGATGGGGTTTCGATTTTGATAAAGTTTGTAGCTTGAGAGAAATGATTAGAAATTATCTTAATAACGGATCCCAGATGCTGATCGGTTAGTCGGATTCTTATTAATTTTCAACTGTGAAAAAAAAAAGCTATTCACATACAAATGTATTCCCGAACAAAGCGATTATCCAAACATTCGTAACTGTGTGTGGAAATGATGTTATAATCATTAAACAGAAATCACACCCACTGTTCCAAGTATCAGGTTTTTACTTCCTGATTCACAGAAAGAAAAGATAAATGAGACAAGTTTGTGCAGATGAATCGAGTATGTTTTAGAAGAAGAATCACAACAATTGTTCCAGTGTTCACAGGTCAATGATAACTGCTGACCACCTATGTGAGCTCGCTTTAGTAGATAAGTCCAGGTCTGATCGCGCGTCTTGTTGTAGCTCTTTCGTGAACGTTCCGTTAGACAGCGTCTGTCGGATTCTAGAATTAAGTGAAATGCATTTACCTGGAGATAAAGTTAAGTCTATGAACAATACATATTCTTTGTTGGAGAGTTCTTAGTTTAGATGTGGATAGCGACATCTGGTACATCGTTGCAGCCCAATTTCCACATGAGTAACTTATTTTCTTTTTTTTCGTATGCCTTCGTTGTGTATTTGGAAGCATACTTGACACGTATTCGAGAGATCCAGGGTTCGAGTCCCGGTGAAGACACTGCGAATTTCTTCGATTTCCTTGCTTTAGAAAATTCCTAAAGACTGTACAAGTGGCTCCCGAATTAAAATATGCTGGATGACAATTCGTCACCCTAGGACTTGGCGATTGGGTCTCCTGATCCCCAGTCGCTCTTTAAAATGGGTAGTATGTAAGACATTTTATCCCTCTTTTCCGTGGAATAATTGGAAGTATACTCGACAGGTATTCGACAAGTCCAGGGGGTCCCGGCGAGGGCATCCCACATTTTTCACGTCTCTTATTCACCCCCTTACCCCCAAAAGCGTAATGACTCTACAATTGAGATTATTTATTTTTTGACAAGTAGCTAAGAAAATCGTTATCTCCAAATCTTAGAACAAGTACTGAATCATTGAATAATCTTTGAAACTTCTGATTCTGACTTAGAAGAGATTGCGAGTAAAGGAAATAATGATACTGTTTCCGAAAGTACCTTATTTGCATATAAAAAAGATAATAGTAACGAAGATAGAATATTAACTTAATAACAAGGATTACTTCCTATAATTAATTCAAAAAGTTGTAAAAGTTGTTAGATTTTTTTAACTTTTCCTTACTAAAAGTACCGTTTTACAAAAATATATACTTATTGAAAGGAAAAAAGAACTTATGCTAATGTTAGATTCTAAAACACGATGAAGCAATTTGCTCTTAATAATGTTGTTTTTTTTTTTTTTTTTTTTTTTTTTTTTTTTTTTTTTTTCCATATACACGCACACATACACGTTTCGAGAGCACTTTGGCTAATGTCCCTTTGGTTAAAAATACTTAAAAACAGCATACTTTTAGAATTTCCGATAGACAATCTCGCGTGCTGGAGACAAAAATGTTTTATTCCGTATAGTGTTGACACTGCTCGCTTTGAAATCGTTAAGTTTGTTAATAAAAATTTCGTTAAAATCTTGAAAAATATAAAATAGACAATAAAACAAATTCCAAATTCGTACTTCCAGGTACCCATATTCGGGTGGAGGAGTATGTTGTTTGAAATTTGGTGGTGCTAAGTACCATTGTTTTTTCACAGTGTGCGAAATATACATACATTCAGGCAGAATCTTCATTATTTAATTTCTTTAAATATAATACAGGACGATATCATTTGTCGTAGCAGTCTGAAAAGTGAAAGGGACATTTACCGAAAGCAAAATGCCATTTTGAGACTAATAGCTTTTTTTGGGCTAATGCCCCTTTGGGCTAAGCGGGAAAAAAAAAAAAAAAAAAAAAAAAAAAGAAAAAAAAAAAAAAAACCACTTTCTATACTCTTGAACTGTTGATGATGACGAAGTATAAAACAGAAAATCCAAAAACACCTATTGCTTTTACTTCTTTACTGGTCCCCGAACGTGCAATAGTGACTATTCAGCTGTAATTCCAAAAAACTAACGAGCATTGATTTTTAAAATATCACAGAATAGAAATGAATTTATATTTATTGATACCGTAGAAATAACGTATCAAATTTAATTATGGTACTCGTTTCAAAGTATTTAAGGCTGCTATAAAGTCTTAATTTTCTTTAATTAAAAACAATTTAAATTGTTTGTTACTTAACTGTCCAAGAAAGTACAATTTTTAATAAAATAAGAATTTATAAGTATATGTGTATTAAGTAGTATTTATTACAGTATTAAGTATAAATTTAGAAAAAACAGTTTTCACGCATTGCCAATTATACCTAATAAAATGTAAATCAGAATTTCGTATTACAGACTTATGTATTTATTCTAACAACAAATTATATTTTGTTTACAAGCGATCAACCGGAAGTGACGCTTGACTTACGTTGCTATTTAAAATATGAAATTGGCAGGAAGTTATGTGCTAGGAACATCAGGTTTTTTTTTAATATTGCACATATAAATAATTTTTACATAATATAATAAACGGTGTTTATTAAAAAGCCCAACTGATGTTCAATATAATAACACTAAAGTGCTTTTTTATATTACAGCGGAACCGAAACTCGTCTGCCGAACGGATGACGCATTTTTGCTGCAGTATCTCAGAGCCCGAAAGTTCAATGTTAAGAAGGCATTCTCACTATTACAAAATTTTTATGAAACCAAAGAAGCTTACCCTGAAGTCTACGATAAATTTGACGTTACGTCAGTCAGGAAAGTGTTCAAAACTTTAGCTTCGACATGTTTGCCATACAGAGATGAAGAAGGATGTCCAGTTATTTTTCTGCAATGGGGTAAGAATAATGAATATTAACTGTTTCTTAGATACGACTTCCTAACATGTAATTACTTACCAAATTTTCGACTACGATTGCCATAAATTTTTACTTAATGACACGAGCAATCCACAAGCCTTTTAAGAGCAACAATTGACATATTTGGTAATTTCATTTCATCTCGAAAATTTAGTGATTCAGCATTTTTTAGAACAGTCATTGACATTCTCAGTGGCTTTTATTCAGTTTATGGGTCCTATTCTTGCCACAGAAGCCAAGACAAGGTTTCCACAATGATCCAGTGGTCCTCATGAAAAATCCGAAACCCTTTGAAGAGATTAAATCAGGAGAATAGGTTGATGCTCGAACCAGATTTATTCACGGGGTTTTAATGGACAGGAGCATCATGGTCCTGAGTCTATAGCCATTATTTCTGGTGGAGTTCATGGATTGTCTAGATGATGCCATGTGAACCTTCTCAAATTTTACGCGGACTGGAATAATAATTTTTTAGAAAAGGACACAGTTCAGAAGAATACAATGGGGGCTGATCCAAGTTTATTTCGAAAGCTTTGTTTGATTTGATGATGTGAGTCTGCAACCTCGTGGATTGTTCTGATGACGCTATATGAGTCTTCAGCGTCTTTAGCACGAAATTGAACGCTGACTTTTCAGAAAAAAAACTAAATCAGCAAGTCTTTGACATTAGAATAGAGGGAAGATTGGCCCAAATTGATTCTCAAGGTTATTGAACGAGATTGGCCTATTCGTCAATCTGCTATTATTGAAATGTTTGTGGAATGTTCATAGCTCTTCTCTGTATTGAAACACTGGTTTTTCAGAAAAATTTAAAAAAAATTAGTTGATCTTAAATTAGGAAAATAAGGCAGAAATCGAACCAGCTTATTCTCCCAGGCTCCAATAGATAGAATCACCTTAGTCATAAATAGTGGGAACAATGGATCTATTTTTTTGAATAAATACATGACCACTGGTGTCAGTTATTGGCAATGTTAAATAGCTAAGCTTTCAAGAGTTTAAAAAATAATTGTGCATATAATTTGTTTCAGTGAAATTAAGCGTGTTTCTTGATTATCTCCCTTTTTCGAAAAATTTGTTGTACAAGCACACACTTTTGTAGAAACTTATTGTAGTTTATTAAATTTATATTCATCTTTATGTCAACGTATTGCCACTATTTTTTTGCATTATCACAAAAAAATTCTCAAAATTTCAGAACGCTATCAACCGTTTTCGCATGCCCTGGGCGTTATGCATGATTCGTTTGCTTGTTGAAACTGCCGAGATTTTTATATATGTATTATAATTAGTCATTTACTTCAATGAAAGTATTAAATTGTTAATACTCACAGAATTCTACACACGTGGAAACAAAAGAAACAAATTAGTTATTTTATACAGAGCCTACCAGCGGCCGAGCGGTAAAGTGATACTGATAGTTTGGTCCGAGGTTCGAATCCCGCGAACGGGCTGGCTGCACGGGTGTTTTCGTGGTTTTCCCCATGTGTAACGTGTATACGAGCCAGTTCCCTTAGAAGGGCCTCCACAAAGGCATCCCTTCCCTTAGGCAGATAGCCCTCGAGGCTTTGCCGTAATTAAATAACCTAACCTATTTTATACAGAAAGTACGAATGACTTTCAAATATAGACAAGAATTTTCCTGCTTCGTTCTTGTAAAGAATACAACGTAATCATGACTCATTGAGGAAACACATATATTTTGAACATGCCAGTATAGTTATGCTATTTTCTTTTCGCGTCAGTTGCAATCAGTATGTTGAAGACGAAGTGTTGCATCATTAGATTGTAGATTAAAGAAAGTGTCATTCCGTTTCAGATTCGTTTGAGACTTAAATCTTTTGAAGATTTCTCAATACGAAGTGACTGGTGGAATTCTTTTAAAGTAAGCCAGAGTAAGATTTGAAAGTGAGCCGAATGAGCTTCGCCAAGAATTTTAACGGATGATGACAAGTTGATTGCCATTGGGGCACTAATACGGATCATTCTGAGGATCACCTTCACAGAAAAATAAGTAACTAGAGAACTCAAAATAAGTTTTGGTAATGTGAAAATATTAATTAAAATTTGTCTTAAATTTAACAAAGCGAGCGCCATGTTGTTTCCCATCTTCTGATGCCTTAAGTAGAAAGAATATTACTTAGATTCGCACAATAATATGTCACATAATAAAGTCTGATGTCCTACCAAATAATTCAGATTTAGCACCATCAGACTTTCAACTTTTCGATACACTTCGATAAATTTTAGGAAAAAAGGAATTTAGATTGAAGGTTGTAGGGAAACCGATTATTTCCAAAACGAAGTTTGGTTTCGTTTGAGACTGCCGAACGACTTATCGCTCCGTCTTTGTAAAGTAACTATAGTCAGGACAAGGTTTAAACAAACCTTTTTTATTTATTTAAACTTAATAAATGCACCACTCTACAAAAACAATCTCCGCCATTTGAATTATTAAGGAAGAGTTATTTATAATTATTAATTATTTTAATTATTAATTGAGGGAATTAGGCTAGTTAAAAAAGTAAGATTTTAGTATTTAACGCTTTAAGTTCACAAATTTGCAAATTCCTATCAAGCTTTGGCTCAGGATGCTAAATGCGCGAACAATACGGTTAGCAGAATGCTAAGGCCGATCTGAATAATTCTAAGAGCTAGACGAGAAAGTACCAAAAAGGTCGTTGCTGAAAGCGCTTTCTCTAACTCCAAGAATTCTGTTCTTATATACACATTATTAATTTGCATCCTTATGCGAGCCGACGAAAGTAGAAAGTGGCAATATAGATAAAAATAAAAGATAATGGTTTAATTAACATAAAACCTTACTAGGTTGTTAATGCTGTTAAAAAAATGGTTTAACATACAGTCAAAAGACTTTTATTATCCTGGAAATTAAAGCATTTTCTTGTCTGTTAACAAAGGTATTACAGTTACAGGTGACTGCATAAAAAACAGTGCATAAGTCGTTTCATTGTCAATAAATAAAGTTTAGCTGATCAATTCCTGTTCACATTTAAAAGTTCTTCGTAGTATTTCACCCTAATAGTGAATCCATATTTTTATGAGACCCAGCAGTAACCTAACGGTTAAGATTTCTGAATACTGATAATTCGACCCGACTTCAAGCTTAGGGTAATGGGCTGGCCCCATAGGCGGTTTTCAGAGTTTTCTTTAATATGTAACGTGAATTCAAGCCAGTTTTTCTTCGAAAGGTTCTTCAAAAAGGCATCTCTCCTTTCAGTAGATGTAACTTAACTCTGCACTAAAAAACTAAAGTAACCTCTGCTAAAGTAACTAAAGTAACTAAACTAACTAAAGTAACCTCTGCACTTACTGACAAATTTTTACCAATGTATAATATGAATATAAAGCAGTTTTCCTGCGAAAGGTCCTCCACAAAGGTATCTTTTCCCCTGAGCAGTTAAAACTTAATTTCATCACATCTTTGCACTTATTAACAAAACAAATTTTTTTGTGAATCCATCAAATGGAATAAAACACAAATGAAATATCGGCTCATTATCTGCCAATGAATTCTTGTCGAGTCACATGCAAATAAAGAGCTTTTTAGAAACTAAATTTTTTAGTTTAAATATTAAGGAATGCTGAAGCTTAAATTCGAATAAAGCTGCTGTGTAAACATTATATATAATTAAATGATGCAAAAGTTGTAGATTACAAATTGACGTTCCTATTGTTATATTCTCTTACCTTAGAATAGGTGCTTCATTTTTCTCCTCTGGCCTTAGTAATAAATATGGTAATGACCAGCTTCGAAAAATGGTCGAGTTCACTGAAATTTCTTCCTGGACATATAAAAGAAGAGACTTAAATCATTTAATTTTAGAAATCAAATCTCTCCAAAGAAAGCACTATAAACACTATTTTGAATGCTTTAATTGTTGTGTGGTCCAATAAAGAAAAAGAAAAGAAATGAATTAAAGTATGTTTATAAGAATAAGAGTAATTTTCTTCATTTGTAATCCAACACTGAAAAACAAATACTTCGTCCAACTAGGAAAATGGAATCCAGATGAATATACAATCCAAACTGCTCTCAGTGTCTTGACAGCAACAGCTTTATTCTGCGTTCAAGATCCCGCAACTCAAATATGTGGAGTCCGAATCGTCCTTGATGTCAGAGGGTCAAGTTTAAAGCATCTTCGCTGCCTTACACCCAGATACCTTCACCTCTTCTCCAAAGCTCTGAGGGTGAGTCATTCTTTCTGTACCCTCTTTGGTCATTTGTCATTATTTTTTGTGTCTTTATTTCGTTTATTAATATAATCTATCTCATATGAACTGATTCTTGTCTCGAAGGGGTTCATGTCTGCACAAATTTGTAATTTTAATGGATGTAAATATAGCATAACTTAAATTTCTCTCGGATATATTTGCACAAAGCAAGAGATAAAAACATTACCAATAAACATATTATAGGTATTTAAAATAAATTCGCTTTTGAAAGCAGTGGCACTGGAAATTTCTTACGTCGTATCTTTTTGTTATGACCAAAAGACTATTTGATCTTCTTAGTTATATTTTTCTAGATTACCGCTTCTCAAACTTTTTAAAATGGGGGCCACTTTTTTTAGTTAGAATGTTTTGCTGACCATTTTACTCTTATTTCCTTCGAAAGAAATTTTGGTACTTTTCCGTTTTGCCGGAGCAGGCGATAAAGTAGCCAGTAATGGTACAACTGATGCCAAACGCAATATACTTGCTGGTAACTTTTTACGCCTCATTTTCAAAACACGTAGCATCCATTTCTTATCAGATTGATTGTTTTTTTTTTTTTTCAATACATAGACATACAATTACATAGAATTTTTACCCGGATAGTTCAATTTTATGCCCTAAGGCCATTCGCGGTAATTAAGTCATTAGGAGGCAATCACACCGCTCACCCCGAAGAAAAATATAGAAAGGCAAAGTTAAGGGTTAAATTCATCAATTCTAATGAGAATTCATAGCGAAGTAAAGCACTGCGGTTTTTTACATAATTTCTGAGTGAGCTATCGTAGAATTGAAATAATTCTTGCATTTAAACTTGTATTCCAAATTAGATTTAACTTGAAATTAATGTAGATAATTACGAAGAATTAGATTTTGTAGCGTGTTTACGTGAGATGAGATCACTTGGGTCACATGATACGAACCGGCGAATCAGGATTGAACCATGAAACATAGTAAATTCTTAAATGTCTTTTTACAAATTTACTGTCTTTATTTATTGGCTTTTTATAAAATTTTAAACGCTATTAAAATGTTATTATCCCTTCAAAATAAAAAATTCTTAGAACTAACATTTGTTAACATTTTTTATGTGTATACTGTATGTTGTCGCCAATAAAGTCTGCTTGGCGACATTTGCTCGGGCGAAACGGAAAAGTACCGAAATTTTTTTAGCATGCGTTACTTCTATTTTTAAAATACAATTAATTAACTTTCATTTAATTAATATAGGTATTGGTATTAAATCATTAAGAAAATTTATATTTGCTTTTAATAATTCAAATCTATTAGAGTTTGGATAACCTTATTAACTAAAAGTTAAATAAATGGTAAACTCATAAATTAGATGGATCAGATTTTTACGTGGATGTTCTATGTTTGGATACATGCTGGTTAGAAGCACTACAGTCATGACGCTTTAAATCCTTCTTTTGTTGCTAATACTAAAGCTGGAAATCCATAAGTAGGATAACTTGTAATAATTTTCAGAAAAATGTTAGATATTTGCCCTGCGTAATTTAGAAATTCTGCTTAAACACAATGAATTTTAATTTCACTTTATGATTTTTGTACATCTAGGAGCACCACAAGGGCAGGCTTTGAGGATCTCTTTTGGTAGGCAGACCACAGATTGGAAAACATTGCCTTAGATAATAGCTGTAAAAAGTGATTAAAGCTATTTGATAACTTTTTTTTTAACTAGGTTTCAAGGAATAAATAATAAAAAATAGTGTTAATATGAGCCCACTGGCGGCCGAAACGTAATATCACTGAATACTGGTAGTTATAACCAGATTCAAATCCAGATGAACGGCCTGGTTGCATATTAGTTTTGTAGTTTTCCCAATGCATAACGTAAATAAAATCCAATTCCCCTAATAAAATCCTTTACAATGGCCGAATAACCGAAATAATCCTAATCTGCCGTTTGTATGACTCGCGGTGTCTTGGTGCATTTAAACACAACAAACGAGAAAGGTCCTGGCAGATTTTCTATTAGAATGTAAATTTTCTTTCGATATAATTCCGCCATTCATCCAAATTGCATTATGAAATTCTTCTTGAATACCTGAGAGCTAAAATATCTGATTTTTTCTTAATACATAGTTTTACTTTCCGTAAGATGACAAACAAGATTATTTACACATAATAACGTCAATCAATTTTCGAGCCTACTCGAACTGAAAACAAGTTTTTATAGTTTTGATATACTATATTACTTTAAATGTTACATTTTAAAGTTTTTTTGCTTCTTATCTGGCCATACCAAATGACATTTTTTATTTGTTTTACCACCTGTAATGCTCTTGAAATAACTGAAGTTATGGTTATTAAAAGCGATTCATTTCAGAGAAATATGTTACTTTTAAAACGAATTATAGTGTTTAATGTTTTGCCATTCTGTATATCAAGGTACACGTGAAATAAAACGATATTCAGCTTGATTTTTTTCTTTTCTTCGTTTAATCATACGTTAAAAAAGAGCAACATTTCATGGAATTTTCCCAGTTATAATTCTATTAGGGAAGTGTAATTGTAATCTGCAATGGAGAAATCATTTGCACTCTCGGCGATACTCTAACCACGGATCTTTCAATTCCTAATATGATCTAACTATTTATACCACGAGAATGCACAAGGAGAGAACGTGATAATTCCTTTCCAGCAAAGCCTGAGGTTCACAGGCGAATGGTCTGACTGAATGAGCGTTTTCATGGTTTTCCCTATGTGTAACGTGTATACGAGCCAATTTCCCGTAGAAAGTCCTCCACAAAGGCTTTGGGTTCAACTTTTGATATTCCGCTAACCAAATCACTTTGGCTTCGATTGTTAGGATTACGGCGAAGCACAGTGAGACTATCTAAAAGAAATAATATTTTTGTGGTAGAGTTGCTAGGATAAATGCTCGTATCGATGTTGCACACTTGTATCGACAACGAAATCTCCCATGCAGCCAGTCCCTTCGTCGAACCCAGTTCGAACTACCCCTGTTCAGCGATTTTTATCCTTGGCCACTGATGAATGCAAACCTGTTTGACTTAACAGTATTTGGCTAGACGGGTATGTTAATTGTTACACACAAGAAAGTAATGCTCGCTCAGCCACAAAAAAATTATCCGTTTGATTTCTCATTTATTTTTATGTACCACAGAAAGATTTATTTTCCTCTTTCAGAATGATTTTGGCAATTTGTCATTTGTAAATAAGATTAGAAAATAAATAAAAACAAAGCATTGTATTTCATTACTGAATGTTTTCGGTTTATTTGCAAACATAAAGGAACTCGTTAAAATGATTCATTAATGGATTTTTTTTTATAATTCTGCAATAATTTTGTATTATTCATAAAACTTACATTGTTTTCATTACATCATTTGATACAATTATTTTTCATTTTTTATATCTGGGCCCACCAGCGGCCGAGCGGTAAAGTCGCTGAACACTGGTAGTTCTGTCCGAGGTTCGAATCCCACGAACGGGCTGGCTGCATGGGCGTTTTCGTGGTTTTCCCCATATGCAACGGTACAAGCCAGTTTAGCCCTGCCCTCGAGTATCCTAATCACACACACATTTTTTATATCTGTCTACTGAAAAAGAAGATAATCAGTTGGCTAATTGAAGATTACAAACACTAGATGGCAGCACTACACATAATTCTTACTCTGGAGCAGAAGTAATTTATTCAGTGCTGCCATCTGTATCAATGTTGCTGAGTTAACAAACAATTTAATTATCGAGACAACTGCTCGTTATTATAAAGCATTTTTTCTTTTATGGAAAAGAAATACTAATGCTATATTAGCCTATCTTTTAAAATTAAAAAATCTCAGATTCCAGATTAGTGTCCTTTTTAAATTGTTTCTTAAATTATTTATGTGTTTCTTAAATTATTTTATTTCTGCTTTATTATTATCTTAAAGGAAATGTTTTGTTTCTTTTTTCAGAACTGTTTGCCCATTCGTTTTAAAGGCATTCATATATATAACGAGTCTACAATTTTCCAGTACATATGGTCTGTGCTGAAAATTTTTCTCACAGAAAAAATCAAGAAAAGGGTATGTACATGTTACAGCGTTGGAGTTAAAAATTAAATAGAATTAATAAAGCTTCTTTATTTTTTCTTTCTTTTTTTTTCCCATGGAACGTTTGGTTTATGTGATTAAAATTAAACCGCAAACCACGCTTTCATTAAAATATTAATTTAGAATGAATTTGCGAGGAGTCTGAAGCTATGTGTGTGGGGGTGAATGCATTTTATTGTACATAAATTTGATAATTTCATGAAAACTTTTTAAGATTCATTTTAAAAAACATTTTAAAATTCTGAAAGATGGTGTTAACAAATCTGCAGCAAATCAATGTTCTTTATTATTAATTATGCGTACTATAGACTATTTAAAACTTCAAATAACATACTTTAGATTCATAAAGAGGAAGAGAAAATTCTTTGTATGAGACATGAAAAAAAAAAAAAAAAAAAAAAAAAAAAAGGAAGCAAATTTTACGGAATCAGCATGAGCAAATTATATGATATTTTCAAAATTAAAGCTTATTGCATTTATCATAATATTTTCCTTTTGTTGTTACTGAAAATATTTCGTTAAAAAATAAAGTATTCATTGGTATAAAGAAGAAATTAGGCAACTGCTTTGCAATGATTTTGCACCTGTTTTTTACTCCAGTTTCTACCTTGCAACTAGTCTTAAACTTCTACCACTTTCTATCCCGGATTTCACGACGTATGAAAAAATTCCATTAATATGCACAGAACGCTACTGAATTCGCCCTATTGTTTGAAAAAATTCTGTTTTGTTTAGCATAGCATTGTATTATTTGCATGTGATTTTATATGCACATTATCAGAAACTGTGAAAGATCAAGTGATGTATTACATATGCTATTATTTTTATTTTCAGGTTCACTTCCACGGAGATAATCAAAAGAGTCTGCACAAGTTCATTCCAAAGGCCATTTTACCCTCAGAATATGGGGGTGACAACATAAATTTCAGTTCCAGCGATTACTTCCCAAATGAAATCGAGAGCTTCTACGAGCAGTTCACCGAATTGCACCAAACTGGCTACGAGAAGTAGTAACCTTATAAGCTTCGACTAGGTCATTAATTATAATTTTTAAAGCTAGTTTTCGCTATATGGAACTAAGATTAGTTGATGACTGTCGAGCCGCTGAAAAAGGAACACTGTG